TCATCAATTACCAAAAAGAGGAAGATTGAAAGGTCCTTGTTTGGTTTTAGTAATTGAGTAACAACTTAGATGGACTAATTGTGTTTAATATGAGATACACTGGTTATTAGTCCACAGGTACACTTGTGTGAGCAACTCATGCCATAGAGGTGAAATGGCTTGGATATGTTGCAAATCTCACACATGTGTTGAAGGAGCTCATTGCATATGAGACATGACATGGAGTCATGTCATCAAGGTGGAGAAGATCAAGACAAGACTTGGCTCAATGGACCGGTTGCAAGTGTGAAGGCCAAGTTGAGTGATGATTTGGCGCCGATGGACCGAGGCAACGGTGAAGAGCAAGTTAAGTCAAGATCGATGAACTAATATGGTCACGTGATGATATGAAGTGGATCATATCATTTGGTGATTGGTTGGTGCATGTGTTGCATCAACAATGGAGGAGATGAAATGGAATGCGCAAGGTAAAGGTATATTTGTAGGGCATTTAATTTCACCAGTCAAAGGTTGTGTAGAAAAGTGCATGACCGGGTTTAGGATAGATGGCCATACTATCAAGAGGGGCAAACTTGTTTGCACATCGGTCATCTATTGCCACTTGAGCAATCAAACTTTGCATACGTGTTAGGATCGAGTGGCGTTGAGAAAAGAGTGCTAATCCTTTGAAAAAATATTTGTAAAAAACTAACACACGTGCACAAGGTGGTGAACACTTGGTGGTGTTAGCACATTTGCAAAGGTAAAAAAAGGAGACAAAACCGAGCTCAGAGTGCTGCCCTGGGGGCACCGCTCCTAGCTGTTCAGTGCACTGCCACCCCAGTTGTGGTAACCGGCTAGTCAAGGCCAAGAGCAGGGGTTGGAGCTGGCACCGCCGTGCCTTGTCCGGTGCACTGCCACCCTTGTGGCGGTGACCACCTGGATGGCGCTGAGAGGAGCTACTACTGGGGCTGGCACCGCCAATGGCGATGTGCACCACCTCTGAGACGGCGGTGCACTGCCAGGCTGTGTCCGGTGCCACTGCCGTGGGCACCGCCCCATTTCCCCCGAGACTGGCTGTTTTGTTGGTTGAGCGAGGGGGTCACCGCCCTAAAATTCCAGAGAGGGAGTGTTTTGGGACTTGGCCGGTTGTGGCACCGCCCGTCCTGTGGTGGTGGCACCGCCACCTAGTGTTCGGTGACAAATGACTAGTTACCGTTGGAATTTGACCGTTGAGAAGGGCACTGCCGTGTTCGGTGCCCTCGCAGAAACCAGCAGCTTTGCTCCAACGGCTCTATTTGGCTTGGGGCTATAAATAGAGGTGGAGCTCAGCCTTGGGCTGGTTGCTGAGCACACTAGAGCCTTGGTGGCTTGTGTGGTGGTGCTTGGGAGCCCTCTAACTCACTTGTGATTGATAGTGATCATCCGATCGAGTGAGTGAGCGATTCTAGTGCGATTGCATCGTGAGGTTGCATTGAGTGGCACTAGGTGATTGAGTTGCACGTCGGTGGTGCTTGTTACTCTTGGAGGTTGCCACCTCCTAGATGGCTTGGTGGCTTGTGACTCCGTTGAAGCACGTGAGAAGATTGTGCGGTGCTCCGGAGGAGGATTTATGAGGGGGATTGCGCTCACTCTGCGGATATCGCGAAGAGCAACTCTAGTAGAGTATGTCATTGAGCTACCCTCACTTTTGGGGTGGGTTCTTTGCGGTGCCCGATGTGCGGGCTTGGCGGGTGATGCTAATTAGCCGCCGAACCACCAAGTGAGCGATCAACACAACGGGGACTATCGTGTTGGCAAGCACGTGAACCTCGGGATAAAATCATCGTGCCATCCTTGTCTTACTGTTTGTTGGCATCCCCTTTACACAAGCTTTTCTTTACATTTTATACATTATGCTTGTGTAGTTGCTCTTGTAATTAGTTTGCTTGTGTAGTTTGCTAGTTACCTTCTTGCTTGTGTAGCATAGAAGTAGCTCTCTCGCATGACTAATTGGGTTTGAATAACTTTGTTAGTCACATTGCTTAGTTTGTGTAGCTAAGTAGTTTGCGCTCTCTAATTTGGCTTATGTAGTCTTGTTATTGAGCATTGCTAGTGAGCTTAGAAGCTTTGTGCGCTTTTGCATCACTAGTTGTGTAGGAGCTCCCCCGGTTGCTTGAAGTACTAGTTGCATAGGTTTGTGTGACCTTGCAAGCTAGAATTGTTAGGTGAGCTCTAGCTAGCCCGGCACCTTTATTGCCTTTTTAGATCTTAATAAGGTGGTTGACAACTTAGATAGAGAGGTGTAGTCTTGGCTAGACCGATAGTTTTAATTCCGCATTTGTTTCGGTTAGCCGACACGATTATTTTTAGAAAGGACTATTCACCCCCTCTAGTCCGCCATCTCGACCCTAGAAACGTACATTTAAAAAATAGATGAAACATTGGAAAGAGAAGATTGCAATATACGTGTACAACCATTGCAACATATGCAACATCCTGATATACTTTTACAACATCCATATGAAACACTTGCGACATAGGTATAAAACATCTGAAACACTTGAAACATAGGCTTGCAACATGCGTTTTTTGCCTTTTCCCGTACAACGCAGCACAGGGAATGGCCGGTTTCGGTCGGCCGGCGGCTGAGGATGATGGACGATGACCGATGGAGGTCGGATCGGCCAAGCCGGCGGTGGACCGGGCGCTGGGGCTACCGAGGATGGAGGACGATAGCTACGAAGCACGGGCAGAGGCAAGGAAGACGAGCATGCAGGTAGGAGGAGGACGACGACTACGGGGGAGATGGGTGGTTGTGCCGGCTGGGGCGGAGCTGGGTCGGTGGTGGCGGCGGACCTCCCGATCTGGGAGGTCACGCCGGCCAAGCTGGTGTACCGGGCGCCGGAGCTGCCGAGGATGGAGGACGACGGCCACAAAACACAGGCGGAGGCGAGGAAGACGAGCGCGGTGGGATAAGGCCGTGATGGATGAATGGACGTCCAATTGTTTTTTAATGGAGAAGCCGTCTGGACGGATGGATGAACGCCCTGATTAAAACATTACCATTAAATTTATAGTTAATGATATTAATATTTATGTTTTTAAATAAAAATTATTATAAGAATACCGTTCTATAATTAATTTAGTGGTACATATTTGTATTATAAATATTAGTATTTTTTATAACTTCAGTTAAAGTTTAAATTATTTGACTCCCGAAAAAACTAAGAAATACTTTTTTTTTACCAGAGGGAGTACATCTCAGATGATGGAGGGAGTACATCTTAAACGACAGACGCGTGGTATGGCAAGTCTTTATGATCCTAAACTTGTTTTAGATTAATTTTAGAGGTAGATGTAAATGTTCATGTATATGGTCCTCTTCATTTCTGTTTCTAGAGACTAGTAGTAGAGAGTGAACTGTGCGTGAGCTGCGTATGTTATACCGATGGACCATGGATGTTAGACGTCCGTTTGGTTCACGGCTAAGTATTTGTTTGGTTAGCCTGTTTGGTTTGGAGATCGAGTTCGTTCCGCATGGGTTGGTCAGGCACCGAATGGAATCAGTTCGTCCGACGTTTTTTTGCGGAACCAGTTCGTCAGAGAGATTAGCTTGCCTTGGTTCACGGAACCGCTGCATGACGGACGAGTGGATGACGTGCCGCAAACCAAATGCCTCATCTAGGCTCGGATGATTCCGAACTGCTTCATGACTTAAACCAAACACGCTAGATATTACCAATAGGATAAGACGATTCCTATTTTAGTGTTGTTTGGTTCAGGGACGACCACGAACAGAGGTTGTCCTTCGAAAACAAGCAGACTGACTAATTCCCATCTCTCTCTCTCTCTCTCTCTCATTCTCATTTTCCTTTATTCCTTTGTTGTGCGACTAACTTGTGGGTGAGCCATGCTGCGCCAGCGAAGGGCACGGTAGGAGCGCGACTAGAGTGGCCGTTGGTGGAGGTCGAGCGGCAGCGGGCGGTGGACCGACGCAGTTGAGCTTGGGCGGCCATGGGCGGAGGGCGTGCGAGCTCAGATGTAGATGTTGCGGGGGCGATCGAACTTGGATGGCAAGAGGGGGAGATCAGACATAGTAGAAGTGGAGGGAGAGCTCATTTGTAGCCACGTTGTGGTGAGGAGACCTTGTGGGTAGCCTTGCTGGGCAGTGGACAAGCTCGGCCTCTCAAAGGGGTGAGTGGCACCGCGAGGAGGCGGGCTGGAGCGAGCAGGGCAGGTCTCGACAGGCTCTACGCTTGAAGAAGATAATGCATGATGGGAAAAGTAGTGATACAAATGAACAAATGACAGGCGGACCTAGGTAACTATTGTTGACGGTGTTAAAGACACCATAATCTCTATATCTTTCAATCCCTTGTCCCAAACAAAATGCACCGATGAACCTATCCTCACAATCAAACATTGTAATGGAATATTTTAAAAAAAAGAATATTGTAATAGAACAATCTTGATTAACAAGTTTAGAGACATCGAAATACGTTTTCATGGTTCGTGGATCTAAGTGACACTCTTTGACAAGTTCAGGAGTCACTCGTGTATTTAACTCTTTATTAATAAAATTTTGACTTGAACATTTATTTTTGGAAAGCAAAATTTAAAAATATAGAAATAAAATTTTTTTATGAAGCTTTCCACTTTTGCTTGTGGTTTGAAGCCCATCATCTGCTGCAACTGGGCCAGCCTGGAAGCCAGTTGCGCCGTGGACTCCACCAGAGTCCAGAGTGTCACCACCACACATCAACGGTCAAAAATTCTGATGCCATCCAAGTCAACGGCCCAGAACGGATCGCCCGAAAAAAAAAGGTGAGCCCAGCCCACGCAGGCAGACAGCAGCTCAGGCCGGGAGGGGCACCAGCAGCCAGCCCAGCGATTCCTCGTCTCCTCCCCTTGACTGCTGCAGTGCCGCTGATTCGCCGGTGATCCCCTCCGTCCTTCCCGGCGCCGGCGCCCCCACCTCGGGTCCTCGGCTGCCTCCTCCGGCTCGCCGCTGGAATCGCTTCCCTGACTCAGAAGCTGCCATGGTAATTAACGTCCACGCCTCTGATCTTTGGCTGCTCTTGATCCGTTCCCCCCAAGATGGCATCTTTGGCACCTTAGGACGCACGGTACTTTAGAGAGGTTAGATCCCCGCTGATTTCCACTCTTGCTGGCCCCAGAATTACATTATCGGTGCCTTCAAGCCGCCCTGCGACATCTTCGTCACCTTCTCCGATGAGAGGACGCGGAAGCAGGTGCGTCCCCTCTGCGTTCCTTCTTTTGCTTGATGTGACTGTTACAGCCTTACAGATTATTTCCTAGCTGGCTGCTGGGTTTGATTTGGTTGGCTCCTTGGACAATTGCAGATGCAGATCAAGAAGGACAATGGGAAGACTGTCATGGTGCCGGCATTCCAGAGCCTTGAGACCATAGCCGGAGAGGTAGCAGTAGTGACAGTTTTGTTTCTTTTTGCTCTCTGTTTACTCTGGTGTGCATGATCTGAGTGTGGGTTAAGTTTTTGTTATGAAATTGCATGCAGGTGTCGATTGCTCCAGTCCCAGGTAAAAGGCTTGAGCACACGGGTGTGAAGATTGAGCTGCTGGGTCAGATAGGTACAAATTCAGTTGTGCTACTGCTACCTAAATTTCTCCCTTTTTTCTGATTTGTTCTGAACCTAGGTGCTCTTGTGTGGTTTAGGGAGCCAAATTAGTGTGGCTATCGGTTCAGGTCGTTCAATAAACTATTTGTCGAGAAACTATTTGTACAACTGGATTCACAGTCAGAGTTTTCTTTAATTTTCATTCATGGTAAACTATTGCAATGCTGAGAAAGTGCAAAAATCAGGAAGATAAAAAATAATAATAATAGCATTGCTGAGAAATGCTCCTTGTTGTCAGTGATAATAATATATATTGCTGGCTGTTCAACACTATATATCTTAATAGGTTCTAACATTTGTGTCTGCCATTCTTTTTACTACAGAGCTATATTTTGACAGAGGCAACTTCTACGATTTCACTTCATTAGGTAGATATTTTCTTGAATTGATTTTTTACACACAGATGCACAACCGCCTAGCAACTTCTATTCAAGATATCCATGTGGCTAACTGAAACTCTTGTTGTCTGTTCTGTCATTATTTTGTTTTACTAGCAATCATTAAAAGGTACCTTTGTTTAATTCATATATCTTTCACTCTCTTCTTTACTATAATGATTACACCTATAACTTAGCACCCTTTTGTTTTGTAGCTATCTCACTGTTTCTCTGTATGCCTATCTCTTCCCTTGAAGTGCCTGTTCTCTCCTTGCAGTGCGTGAATTAGATGTTCCTGGTGAAATATATGAAAGGAAGACTTATCCATTTGAGTTTGCTACTGTTGAAATGCCATACGAGTCATATAATGGGACAAATGTTAGATTGAGGTAAGGCAGAGTCTTAAATTGCTTTATAATGGGACAAATGTTAGATTGGAGACTAGCTTGCATGATGTGCAGCATCAGCCACTCTGATAACACCAATTCTGAAAGGTGAAGTTTATATTGCAGGTACATCCTGAAAGTAACAATTGGCAGAAATTATGTTGGCAGCATTGTGGAATCACGGGACTTCTGTGTAAGTCTGGACATCATCTCGTTGATCTATTATTTGTCTGGGTCAGTGCAAACTTTGGCATCTCCAACTTAGAACTGTTGGGTTTTAATTTGAGTTGAGCTTTGGCAAATTAAATGCCACATGGCATGTATCTCTTTTTTTTTCATGTACCAATATTTTTTCAATTTTTTTCTTGAGTGGTTCCTAGGATTTTATTAAGGTTTTGTAGTTTGTGTTTCTTCTGCACCACCCAATCATACTTCTAATGTTTGTTTTCAGGTAAGAAACTACTCTCCAGTTCCCACAATCAACAACAGCATCAAGGTGTGTCCTCATAACTGTGTGGCTTATTGCACTTCTAAAGCCTTAGCAATTTGACCCGGCTTAATAAGTCATGATGCCTTTTGGGCCATGTAAGTGAGACTTGTCAAGTGTATCAATTAGGGCTTACATAATCATATACTAATTTCAATTCCTCTTCATAATTATATGAGCTACCATTGAGCCACTTCTGAAATATCATATCAGTATTATTATTAATAGTTTAAAGAGAAGATAAGAGTGCACCCTAATAGATTGCCTGGTGAATTGTTTATAGCACCAATTTTCGTAACTTTTGATATTGGAGTTAAATACTTGGATGTTTTCATTAGATGAGTATAATGGTCTTGCCTTTTCAGATGGAAGTTGGCATTGAAGATTGCTTGCATATTGAATTTGAGTACAGCAAAACCAAGTAAGCACTACATACTGTTTTAACAGTCTGTTCTTATATTCACCTGGTTTGGCAAGTCAGGAACTCATACTCTTATGGTCCAAACATAAATCAGGTATCATCTCAAAGATGTCATCATAGGAAAGATATATTTTCTTCTGGTCAGAATTAAGATAAAGAACATGGAGCTTGAGATTCGTCGCCGTGAATCTACAGGGTCTGGTCCCAACACATATGTTGAGACTGAGACACTAGCAAAATTTGAGCTGATGGATGGCGCCCCAGTTAGAGGTATTGCTCATATTTCTCCCCTCTTGTATTTATAAAGGCATGCATAGCTTTCAAGCAAACTTGCTGTCACTTGCTTCTTGTTAAATGGTAACAGGTAAACATTATTTTTTGACATTTGAGAAGACTACGTCGAATTTTTTATGTAAAATACTCCACTCAGTAGGTGCTAAGTTTATCAACAATGATTACGCAGGAGAATCGATTCCAGTGAGACTATTCTTGACTCCATATGAGCTTACCCCAACTTACCGAAACATAAACAACAAGTTCAGTGTCAAGTACTACCTGAATCTGGCCCTTGTCGATGAGGAAGACCGGAGGTATTTCAAGCAACAAGAAATCATGATGTATCGCCTTCTGGAAACTCCACAATCATCATAGGCTCCTATCCTTGCTAAGAGTTGGAACCAGCCAGAGGCTTTTTGGTTTAACCTTGCAAAAGAACGCCAAAGTTAGTGACCTTACTTTTGGCCCCACCCTGTACATAAATTCTCCTGAAGAGCAATGCAGTTCTTATGTAAGTTAGATATATAAAAATGCAGTTCTACCATATGGTGTTGCTTTGTTACTGCCTTTGTTTGAATCTACTTAGGATAAAGCCATGAAAATGTTTGTATCAATGTGCCTTCACCTTGTTTCTTTCTTGTCCCTGTTGGACTTGTATAACTTTAGATAATTCTCTATGTATATGATGTTAATATTCGCGTCATGTTTGGGTTTTCTTTGTTTATTTTCATTCTATATATTTTGCATTTGAAGTCATTGTTTATATACTATTGTTTGAAGATGATTTCATGATATTTGATATGTTCATCTTTGTGTGAAGATGCGGATGTGTTTCAAGCCACAAAAAAAGAAAACAAAAACAAAGATGTGGCTATGGCCCAGCACACAAGCTTTTGGATCAAAGCTCTCCACAGATACTATTACCCTAATTCGTGTGTCCTGGTGGGTAGCGCAACGTTCATTATCAAAACTTCACCACAATGTGACATTGACAGTCTCTAACACCATGACAGCTGTTTGTCACTGACATTATATTATTTGGGCTGTAATGTTGGGAAATAGTCACACCTTTGTGATTGTGAGGCCCTATTTATAAGGTTGAGAGTGCTCATCCAATAGACTGGCGTTTCATGAAGAGATGGCCCTATTAGCATTTTTTTATTACTTTTCTTGTTGGGCCGGCTTGTATTAAGCAGCCAAAAACCTAGTCCTCTGTGGGTTGCTCTTTAATTTTCTTTCATTGAGTTTGTTCATCACATGTTTAATCATGAACAAAACCGAAATGACAACACAGGTTTGGGGTGTGTGTGTGTGGTGGTGGGGGGGAGGTGGTCCAAACAATTGGAAATGGTATGAAAGTACCAAAACCATTTCTTTTAACACCTTTTTATCAATAAATGTATGCATTCCTGATGATATGGTACCAAGTACCATTTGCTAGATATCTTGCTAAGATGTTGGTGAGAGCTGAAAGGCCTAGTAAGGTGAAATCAGGGAGAGCTGAAAGGCCTAGTAGTAAGGTGAAATCAGGGAGTGGTAGCACTAAACAGAACAATCAAACACAATGGATAGAGAAGCAATAGTCGCCTGAATTAGTGTCATGACACCCGAGGATTTGTGTTTTGCTGATTTTGTTTTCCGTGATGAACTGTAGTCTGTGGATCTCTTTTCACTCTAAACTCACCATTTGCTCTGTAATATTTTTGCATAAGCTCATGGACCTCAGCAATTGTGGTCACAGATCACATGCAAACCTTGAAGCCAGGCAAAAAGGTTTCCAATGACTATGTAGGGGCTCTGTAACCTCCCTTGTTCTGCTGTCTCAACACCGGTTCCTGTATTCATGTGGCCGTAGCCTGCATGAAAGGAAGCTGAGGACAGAAAGATCCATGAACAAGTTCTTAGATGCGTCCCTTCACCGTCCTGCTCATGCGCCCCACAATGCTGGTGATCCTAGCCTCTGTACAAGCTCGACAAGTGGGCATATATTGCCGACCGTCGCAACGATGGGCTGAGGGTCGGAGGGTTACCATGGCTTTGTCGATGTAATGCTTTTGAAAATCAAGAATAGAACTAGGCATAGTACAACTTGGCTTGTACTCCTAGTTTCTCCCTCATATGTACCTGTAAATAACCTGTGAGAGTCAATGCAAGCAACAAGAAATCTTCAACAAATTTTAGTTAGGGTTTTCAACATATCCACTCTTTTCCACATGGTATCGAGAGCCTTAGTCTAGCATCATTCGATCCTTGGTTATTAGACCATTCACATTGCCAAGGGAGATCAATCTCCGAATTCTCCCTAGGGCACCGCCTAATTTAGTTATTAGCCTCTATAATCATCCATAGATTAGTTTACTATTTTTTTTCCAAATTTAACACCCTACTAGTTTGAGTTCATCTACGGTCTCATCAGAGAGATGACACCTAAGGCAACGGCATCTTCATCACGCTGCCACACAAGCAACCCATGCTGCCAGAGAGAAACATGTGTTGTTTGGTGGAATTTTGATCTGGTTGACTACACAAACCCAATGTCCAATTTTTTGCATTATTTGTTGCGTATGTCCAATTTTTTGCATTACTTTTTGACAGCGCAATGTCTCTGCCATCCAACAAAAAAAAAATGCTTGCTGTCAGGACTTTCGACCTAACACTTCTTAGCATCTCTTTATATGAGCTGTTAAGATATCACTCACTGCTGCTGCAAGCTCGCAGATAATGGTGTCATTTTTTCTCTCCTCTAGGCCTCAAATTACACAAACAATTCATATATCTTGTATCCAGTTTATTACATGGTATTGACGCCTCTGACAGCATCCATCATCCATGGTTCTGGCACACCACAGATGGATCGTTTCCAATGAAACAGTCATAATACCTGATGCCATTCCTATAATAAAGTATGAAAGTACCTAGCTGTACCATGTATGGTTACTCTATTTACTTACTAAGGGGGTGCTTGGTTTTTCCTCCTAAACTTTAGTCGCTGTTCTATCGGATGTTTGACATAGGCATGGAGTATTAAATATAAACTAATTACGAAACTAATTGCACAGCTTGCGACTAATTTGCGAGACGAATCTTTTAAGCCTAATTAGGCCATGATTGGACAATGTAGTGCTACAGTAAACATGTTCTAATGACGGATTAATTAGGCTTAATAAATTCGTCTCATGGAGTCCTGACGGATTCTGTAATTTGTTTTTTTAATTAGTATCCGAACACCACCCTCACGTGTCACCTCCTAAATTTTAGTTATCAGATCCAAACACCCCCTAATAGTTAGGAGCAAATAAACAACTCTATCCTTGTTCATATAAAGCCACAGCTCGTTTTCGAGATGATAAAACTACAACTACAACAACAGCAGTAGCAGCATATAGTTAAATATACACTGTGCTTGCTTGTGACCAAATAGTTTACTTGCACTGTGGGCTCATTCTGTGCAAGAGCGTATACTCATAGGTTTGGGAGGTTTCGGGAATTTTAATTTTGCCTTTCATCGAGGTCTTGGAAATTTGAAGTCCGCCATGTGCCATAGCTAGCTTCTGTACCTATGGACTTTAGTGTAGTTAAGTTTTATGCATGAACACATATTGCTATATGAGCTGGGCTCAAAGCTTGACTCTGGCCAGTAGTCCTAGAGTGCGTGCCAACTTCGAGCACCCAAATCAACCCAAATGGTACGGTAGTTGTATGGGGGGGCATTTCTTCCTTTTGTCCACAAACATTGTTGTACTGCACTGCTCGTGCAATCATATGATCAGGTTGATTATGGAAACTTAGTGTCCAATTTACAGTGCAACGTTTCTGCCGTTGAACAAAAATGCTTGGTCTCAAGGACTTTTTACCTACCACTGCTTAGTACGTATCTCCAGTTACAAATTAGGAGCTGCTAAGATTTGCTTCAAAAGCACATTGTCTACACCTACCCTGTTCTGGAATGATTATATACACCTAGAATAATTGAGCTGATCGAGCACCAATAAAGTTACTTGCTGTTGTTGAAAGTTCACAAATAAACATAATGTTGGTATTTCTCTCCTCTCTGCGCCTCAAATTACAGAGACAATTCTTGGAGCTTTTGGCAGTTTATAAATTTGATTTTGTACTCAATCCTAAAAGAAAGAATGGCTGTGGGCTTGGTTATAGAGACTTTTGCCTGGCTACATGGTGACCAAGTACTGATGATTTTGCAAGTACCATATGTAATATCTCTATTGTGCTGAGAGGTAGGTAGAGAGCATTTCTCTGCTTTCAACATGGAACAAAACCATTTGACATGATATATAAAACCCCAACAACAACAGCAGCCTTGTAAGATAAATCGGTCTTCTTTGTTTGGCTCCACTGCACCATACATTTTACTTACACTATATATAACCTTGGTCTGAGGAAGAGCAAATAGGTATACATTCCACAGGACTGAGAAGCATAGGGAATGATGAGTACTCGATCTAGGGTTCAAACCGCACCTGCTATGTAATTTAGATACCATCGAGATGGTGAGGACACAGGTTCTAAGGATTCCACCTTTTCTACTTTGGTTCTCGAGGATACATGCCCTGATCAAATCTTTGTTTGACGCTGCAAAGACGAGACTTGGTTTAGAGGGACTTTTGAGGACGTAGACCTATTGCACCCCTAAATGATTTCTAGAGGCGGCCTCTTAAAATAAAATCTATAGTATCTCTAAAAATGTTTTTGAAGCAGCACACATCTTGCCATTAGAGAAAAATAGGTTAAATTCATCTGACAAATATATTTATCCCATTCTGGAAAATAATCTATAATGCTCTAATTTTTATAGGAACTATTCATGTATGCTGTTACAAAAATAATCTAAAGTTTCATCCTAATGTGCATCTAAATTACCAACCATCCCTTTCTGCAAGACAATGTAAAAGGGACTCTATTTCCGTATTATTACTTAGCAGCAGGGTGCCGGCCGCTGGGATTAGGCTAGCCTCATTGCCGCCGTGAACCAAATGGCACTTCAGGGTGCCAACTCCTGGGTCCTCGACACTGGCGCCGCCACTCACATGTCATCACTGGATGGTATACTGCTTTCCCGCCTACCCCACTCTGCTTCTTTCCTTACTGTAGGCAATGGTAGCATCATTCCGATTTCCTCTCATGGCACATCCACCTTGTCGGCAGCTGACACCTCCTTCCACCTTAGCAACTGTCATGCTTCCCATGTTTCATTGTTCCTCTCAAGATGGAGCGGAGCTCCTATCATGCAGTTTGTGAATAATCTAGAGTTATGATTTACTTACCTCAACCCTGCGCCTAACAACAGAGCACACAATCTTGGAGCTTTTTGGCAGTTTAACTCATGAATTTGTATAGTTATTTTTTTTGGATACTAT